AAAGGAAAAATATGAAGGGGATAAACGATGGTAACTCAAAAAATTATAAATAGGATGAGGATTTCGAGTAGATCGAATACCTTTGCGAAGAGCAATTGGCCAACTAGAATCTTCATCATTGGGAATCGTGGTAGGTGCAGTTGATGGTGAAGAACATGAAACAGATGGCTCTCCATGATGTGTTGAATTGTCCCTTTGTATTCTTCGTTGGTAAGTGATGAGGGGTGGTGAAGATGGTTCAGGTGGGTTGATAGTTGGAGAAGGATTTGGATCTATGTTTTGATTGGTAGTTTCAGGAGACTGGGTCAACACTGACTCAAGAAATGGAACAGGTAATACTTGTTGAATAGAATCTAAAACTTGCATGGAAGATGAAAAGAACGAAGTGTCTTCGAAGAAGGTGACATCAGCAGACATGTAGTATCGTCTGGTGTCTGGAGAATAACAACGATAACCTTTTTGAAGTCGAGAGTAACCCAGAAAAACACACTTAATGGCTCTAGCAGAGAGCTTGTCCAAACCTGGAGATAAATCATGGACAAAACAGACACAACCAAAAACACGAGGAGAAACGTGAAATAGAGGTTCATTTGGAAAAAGAATTGAATAAGGAATTTTATTATCAAGAGAGGAGGATGGCATTCTATTTATTAGAAAACAAGCCGTAAGAATTGCATCACCCCAATGATGGACGGGAACATTGGTACTAAGTAATAAGGTACGAGCAGTTTCAACTAAATGTCTGTTTTTTCTTTCTGCTATACCATTTTGTTGTGGTGTATGAGGACAAGTAGATTGATGTAAAATACCATATGTAGTTAGAAAGGATGTAAGATCTGAAGAAAAATATTCTTTAGCATTATCACTCCTAAGGACTTTTATTATTTTCCCAAATTGATTCTTAATTTCATTGCAAAAAGACATGAAAATGGACAGAAGTTCAGATCGATCTTTCATTAAATAAATCCAAGTACATCGAGAGTATTCATCAATAAATGTGACAAAATATCTGAACCCAAAAGATGTGACACGGCTTGGACCCCAAATATCTGAATGAATGATGGAAAAAGCAGAGTTACATCTTGTTTCAGTTCTTTTTGGAAATGAAGACCTAACATGTTTCCCTAGTTGACAAGACTCACACTCTAAGGCTTGAAGTTTGTTAAGGCTAGGAACCATTTTCTTTAATTTTGTCAGGTGAGGATGACCCAAACGATCATGCAAAAGTTTAGGAGTCGAAGATGCAAAACAAGAGACAGAGGGGCTAGTTTCAAAATAGTAGAGTCCTCTAGATTCATGTCCTCCTCCAATCAACCGACCCGTGCCACGTTCCTGAATAACAAAGGAATTAGCATCAAAGGTAACAGAACAATTTAATGATTTGGTTAATTTACTCAAAGAAATTAAATTAAAAGCACATTTAGGAACAAAGAGGACAGATTTTAAGTTCAAGGAAGGGGTGAGAGAGACTTGACCAACTCCTTGGGAAGCGACTTTGGATCCATTAGCCAAGGTAATGAAATGAGGAACTTTAGGTAAGGAAATAGAAGAGAACAAAGAATTATTACCAGACATATGGTCAGAAGCACCAGAATCTATTATCCATGGACCTTGACTCTCCGTGGATTGAGAAATGCATGCTGTTGAAATATTAGGAACAAAGGAAGATTGAGCTTGACTATTGGATTTCAACCGAAGATATTCTTGATATTCCTCCTCAGAAATTTTTTTATCAGATTTAGAGTCTTATATCATATAAAATCAACCTTCTCTTAAAACATATAAATATTTATTTAAAAATGCTAATAAAAATACTTATTTAATACGTACAAAATAATTGTCCAGAATAATAATTATTTAAAACGTACAAAATAATATTCCTCTATAATTATTAAAATAATTATGACCAAATACCATCTAATAATAATAATAATAACCTTTTTGAAAATTGGGGTGTTACATTTTACTTTGCAACCAAAAGCACATATTACTCAACAGGACCATAAACCATATTTTCCTTCAACCTATTTAGATCCACTATTTGGTATCTTGATTCAAGAGCTTCCAATCATGTCATAAATGCATCACATAATATTCAACAACGTATAACGTTTGAAGGGCATGAACAAATCACCATAGTAATGGTGAAGGGTTAAATATCAATTCATCAATTATCTTTGTTTTTTTTTCTTTCCCCTTAAATTCGTAAATTTGTTAAATTCTTAAATTTGTTTCACATTTAACAATCTTCTTTATGTTCCCTCCATCACCAAAAACTTAATTAGTGTTAGTCAATTCTATAAAGACAATTAAACTTTCTTTGAATTTCATCATTCCTTTTGTTTGGTTAAATCCCAAGCTTCAAATGAGGTGCTCCTCGAAGGACTTGTTGGCTCCGATGGATTGTATTAATTTCTTGATTTGTTGTCTTCAAAAGTTATGAATAAACAAAATATTCAGCCTTCCACTCCTTTCGTTAACATAGTCACTTATAACTCAGATTCATTTGCTACATGACACTTTAGATTAGACATCCCAATATTGATGTAATAAAATTGATCTTTCACATTTGTAATTTTCTCATTATCAATAAAAGTAATTTGTTCTCATTGCTATCTTGGCAAAGCTCATCGTTTACCCTCTTCTTCCTCTAGAACTTTACATTATGCACCTTTTGAATTAATATTTAGGGATTTATGGGGCCTTGCACCTATCTTATTTACCTTTGATTACCAATATTATGTTATGTTTGTTGATGCTTCTACACGTTTTACTTGGATATACTTATTAAAAAGCAAAGCAAATACAATTGGAGTTTTTAAACAAATTCATATTATGGTTCAAAATGAATTCAATTTCCTATAAAAGTTGTTCAAACAAATTAGGAAGGTGAATGCAAACCCTTCTCTACCTATCTAATTCAACATGGAATTTAGCATCATTTTATATGTCCTCACAAGCACCATCTGAATGATGTCATTAAGCGCAAACATCACCATATCACCATATAGTTGCCACTACTACAAAAAGGCTCTTTAACATCGGATATTTGAAGCCTTTTACGTCGGAAAAGCATCCGACGTTAATACGGGAGACGTAAATTTATGTCGCCTGTCAAATATAACGTAAATTTACGTCGGAGATATACCCAGCCCGACGTAAAAAGGGACCCAAAAAGGGCAAAAAACATGCAAGAATTTACGTCGAACATGGTCTTGTCCAACGTAAATTCTGGCATTTTTTTAAACGTTTATTGTTTTTTGATATACCCAACACCTGCATATATATATATAGTCCAGAATATCAAACCTAAACCAGACAGTCCAAAATAGAAATTCAAATTATATTTCAAAATTGAATGACAAAAATAAAATAATATATAAATGTTAAAAAGCATAAATTATGACAATGTAAATCCTATTATCCTAAAAAAGCTATAAAACATATGTTTGTCAATGCTATCAAACTATAAACATAATATCTAACTAACTAAACTTAGAAATCTAACTATTATATACTTTGAAGAAAAAAAGTTGCCCATTGTTCTCTTATCTTGATCATCTCATCTTCGGGCAATGGAGATGGATCTTGAAAGACCTGAAACATTAATTTAAGTGTCATTAATATGCAATGTTAATTATCGTAAAGGTAAATATACTTAAATAAATTTTGATATGAATTACCTGCGCCCAAGAATCAGTAATACCCGCAGAAACTATGGCTCTCATCCAATACATGATGTAATAGCCACATTCAAACGAGTCTTGTTGCTTATTACACTAAAATGAGAAACAAATAACTATTAATTCCAAAGTCAATAAATTTAAATATTATTGACTGTATGAATTAATTTGCTAACCTTAGGGTATATGAAATGCAATGACTTTGATGATCTGGCTCTTCCACTTAATATATTAGCTCCAGACACGATTCTAATTAATTGAAATAAAAATAAATGTTAGCCAATATATATAATTACAGTGTTAAAACATAATGAAAAAATTTAGTTACCCATGTAATTGGCTTTTAATTTCCTGGCTTGGTTTTCGATGAAGTGAACAAAACCACACCACGGTATATTCCTTAGGAATGATTACCATTAACTGCCAATGAGACCTACATTGTATGACAAACAAATCAGTTAAAAAATTACCATGATTAAAAAATCAATTAAAAAACTAACCCGTCAATGTATGGAGCCATGTATATATGTCTTCTTGAGTCACTCATCCATGTTTGCATATATTGTTGGATCTGGACCTGAGTGTTTCCTGATTTTTGGATGGATTGAGGCTCAATAAATCCATATACTTCTGCTTGTGCTTGCTCCACACTCAATTTGTCCATGTACCTAACACAAATAATTATTATAAGTTAAATGTAATTATTGTAAATTTAGACTCATAAAAGAAAATATGACTTACATGGCCCACAACTGTATGATAGATATATTTAACATGGAGTTTCCCCCAACAATCTCTAATGCATCAGGCAGAGATATGTATAGTGGAACATCAGAGCTATCAACTCCAAAAACTCTAATGTCCCACTGCAATTGAATTGGTTGCTTCTTTAATCGTGGTAATTTGATTAGAAGCTTAGATATGGGATCATCCTCAGCTTCTGCGATATTAGCATCATGAACATGAGGTTCTCTCATGACCTCCTTACCACGATTGATAAAATCCTAAAGAAATAATCAAAATTAGTTAAACAATAATAGAATTATAAGAATCTAAAAGAGCAATAATATAATTACCTTTGCCCGTGCTGAAAGCGGCATGACCAAACGTTTTGGCCAAGCTAAGAATGTGCCGGTTGCCTGCCCCACTAGTTGAACCTCTGTATTGGGCAAAGGCACTGGAGCAGCAGCATCTTGAACTTGGTCAACCACAACCCGTGTCCAGTCTGGCTGTAGAGGGACACCATGGATGGTTGAGCCACCCTCAAATACTCGGCCAATAGCCACTAACCGTGGGGGGTCATCCTCAACATATAACTCACACTGGTTTGGTACATCAGTGTGAGTCTGATCCGGTGAGGGATTTGGAGCAGCACAACTCCCTTTAGTGCTGACTCGAACACCATCATGAGCAACTGCAGTCTGTTGCTGAGAACGAGCCAAAAGTTCAAACTTCTGTTCAAACTCTTTTTGAATATTCTTCAATCTCTCTTCAAACTGACTCTCCAATCTCTGCTCCATTCTCTGCATAACCTCTTGACTGCAAGAGTCAACAGTGCTCCTCGATGATCGGGCACCAAAGAAATCTCGGTGGCTCCAAGAACCACCAACACCACGCACACGGCCTCCGTGCTCTGGCCTTCCTATGGCCGTTGTGAGGATATCATTCCGACCATCGGAAACAAATGAGCCCTGGGTGCTCTGCTCAACTAAACCCTCCTACAACATATTAACAATAAGTATACCCTAAACTACACTTATGAATTAAATGAGTTGAAATGAAGAGTCTTAGTTTGTATATTTTTACTTACTATTTTATCAGCAACGACCCTTGCAGACTCAGAAGTCATTTGCCCATCTGATTTTGTCCGGGCTGCTATCCACATCTCATGGCGGGGAGGTGACTCCACACGGTCAGCAGACTCAACCCCTGCTGCCTCTGCCCTAGCCTTCTTCATTTCCTTTTTTTTTCTTTCATATCCCCCTCTTGACAATAGATGGGGTGCATCATTCTTGGCCTGTCGTTCTTGGGCAGCTATTCTTTTAGCCTGCAATAATACAAAAAAGAAAATGAGATTAATTAAAATATACCTTAAGTATTTGTGTCAATGTAAGAGTTATCAATAACTAACCTGCCACGAAGGGTCCAATCGAGTGGCACGAAATTGCATCCACTCCTCATCAGTGATCTGGTACTTTAGACAGGGAGTCTCATTTTGTCGCTCTCCAAATACATACTCCCGTGTCAAGAAAGTCTTGAAGTCTCTCCACCTGGTGGCAAGGGCAGATAACATCTTCCTCCTCATGACCTCAGTGTTGGGAATGTCAAAATTTTGCTATGAAAATAACAACAATTAATAAATAATGTATTTAAGTTATATAATATTGAAGGGATGTGAAAGTATATACCTGAATATCCTGCCACATGAGGTTCTTGTCAGCCTCCTGAACGTCATCCCATGATGGAATGATAATAGAAACATGTCGTCGAGCTAGGACTCCCAAATAGCTCTTAAACTTGGCAGCATTTGGGCCTGATGCCTTGCCAGAACGAGGATCCACCTCAACCGGTGTCCTCTCCTTGGCAATGCGTCCAGTTGTCAACCCAGACAATCAGGTGACAGATCTACCTTCCCTCCTTCCACTGCCAGACCCTGAATCTTCCATAATCTTGAAAAAATTAAACTTTCATTATTAAAACAATGAATTAACTGAATAGACAAATAAAGTAAAAAAGATAATAATAATATAGCAACAAAATAACTAATAAAAAAACAAATAATACACAAAATCCATAAATATTTCTACTAAAACATGGTAAACTAAAGGTCAATGCTTAAAAAAGTCATTCTTTAATGCATCTGGAACGGCCCGTACTGAAACCAGAACGGGCCGTTCCAGATACATAATTAACACAGATTTATGCGCCTGGAACGACCCGTTCTAAAATCAGAATGACCCGTTCCAGCTGTAAAACTTCTATGTTAATTGTTTATCTGGAACGGCCCGTTCTGGTTCCGGTAAAGGTGGCAGTGCCTCCTAGTTAGGAATTAATTTATATGTTCCAAATCATGTAATAAAAATAATATGACAAAGATGCACATTTTGGTCTTTTATCAAGAACGTTCAAAATTACAAAAGAAAAGAAAACTAAGGCTTTTAAAACAATAACATCCTAAACTAAGCCTAGCTATGCCCGATGTCACATCCTATCAGAGCATGTCCAACTGAAGCCTTAAGCATCATCATCAACATCCTCATGATAATGATCACCTACAACATAATTTAAACATATACAAGAATAACAAGAGTCCATTTTTCATATTCTCATAGTCATATCTTATCTCAATAGTCCATTTTTATGTCTCATGTCATTTGTTCATATTTTACATAGTCGTCATGATTGTTCCTCATAAGGTCCGCACAGGAATCCACAGAGAGCACTCTTATTCATATTAAAACTTATTTATTTTTAAAATTAATTACATATTCATTCATTACTTCCAACCAGGAACACAGTAGAGCAAACAAAAAGTAAAACAGAACACATTCATGTTTCTAGAAACATACATCAGGCAAGGGATTGGGAGTCAATTCGACTATCCAACAATTATTCCCATGTCCCCGAGCGAGGTTTCTCACTCCCTCCCTTACCTCGATAAGCAGGAGCTGAAACTAGAGCAGAACCTTGCTAATCTCCTCCTCTGAATTACTTCTTTCTTTCTCTCTCTTTCTTTCTCTTTCTCTCTCTAAGTTTTTACCTTCGTCAGTTATAATTTTTTCACAGCCCCTCCCTCTTATTTATAGGCATTCAGGGGTATCCAGAACGGCCCTTCTGAATCCGGAACGGCCCGTTCTGGAGCCATTTGTTATATGCAAAATTTACAATTGGAACGACCCGTTCTCAAAATCAGAACGGCCCGTTCTGGGATTCATTTTAACACACATTGACCATAATTGGAATGATCCGTTTCCAACTAAGGTTTTTAGGCATTTTTAGATTATTGGAACGACGTGTTTCACTTTAGAAACGACCCATTCTGGAATAACCAAAATTGACCTCTTTACTAATTTGGAACGACCCGTTTCACCATTTGGAACGACCCGTTCTGGTCCTTAAAAAATAGTTTACTTTCATCGTTTAGAACGGTCCGTTCCACTTTTTGGAACAGCCCGTTCTGGTATAAAAAAAAATTATATAAAAATTAATTTTTTTAAAAATCTCTACAATATTTTATAAAATTCCCTTAATGAAATAAGCTTCATAAATATAAAATAATAATAATTAATTATGTAGAAGATTGGAGATGTTACATTACACTTTGTTGTTGCTCTACTTTGCCATTATTTCACACTTCACGCTACTTCGTGCTTTGCCACTACTTCGTCATGTTGCATTTTGTTGTTGCTTTGCTCTGTCATTATTTCACGCTCCACTACTATGTCATGCTCCACCATTCCATACTTCTTTACTACTCCACTTTGTTGTGACACCCTTTGACGTGTCATTCTTCATCCTGTGTTCTCCACATTGTTCTTGTTATTGACGAGTAACACGAGTCTTCCAATTTTAGTATTTGGACGAGAGAAGATGCATAGTAACATGTTGCATAAAGATTGATCTGACCATCATTAATAATGGTGCACAATAGATCACATATGATAATAATCCACCTTAGAATCTGTCACAAGAAAACATACAATAAAAAGTTAAATCAAATAAAACAAAAAATGTTGATTTATGTGATTTCTAGATCTTTCAATCATTTAGATTTGACAGACTTTCAATATGTGATTTTTTTTTTGCTAAAGTTTGTTATTATCATAATAAAATTTTATACTACTGATAATTTTTTTAACAGAATATTTTGCAACTCACAAATATTACTAATCATTAATTATAAATAATTGTTTAAATATTAATAAGTTGTTTATATAGAAATTAAAATTCATAAAATATTTAATAAGTCAATTTGTTAGATAATAGAATATTAAAATTCATTATTATTCATATAAAAAAGTTCCCACACGCAAGTATTTGATGAATGGGAGGAAAATAACACACTTTAGGCATCAAAATTGCGAAATCCAGACTTCTGATAAAATTTCCTTATTACAAAATCACTAGAAATTGTGTTACTTATCTTTTATACTATCTCAAGAATTGTATTTAGGCCAAGCGTCGTACTTGGTATCAACTCATCGAGTGTTTTTTTTTTAAAGGTGAATTTTTTTACTATAAAATACATCTAATTAACATTTAAAAACTCTAAATTTAAATGTACTTCTAATTATATTTTTTTATATATTTTATACTGCTACTGTTAGTTAACTTTTAAAAACATCAATTGTACATTTAGAATGATAAAAAAGTATGAAATCAGTTGGTTAAGAGAAATATAGTACAAATGCAGTGGAAATTAATTTTCTGAAAGATTAATTAATTTTTTTAAAAATAAAGTTATCATAAAAATACATTTTTATCCTTACTTATATACTTAATTTATTTATGTTTACTGTAAGTCGTGTATTTCATCTATTTATTATTTTTATTCTTATATTTATTATTATTAGAGAGTTTTAATGAAATTTGGTGGAGATACTGATCCGTTATTGGGGGAAAGGGGGAAGCGATGAAAGTTTAGTAAAACTAGTATTTTAATTTGAGTAATGTATAAACATATTTATTATATATAATATAATTTAAATTTATAATAAACTATTTATAAATTTTTTATATTTAAATATATAAATTATATTTAAAATAGGTATATATATAAATATTTTAAACATATAAATTATATTTTGAATTTATGATAAATAATTTATA